CTGCAATCAATTTACAGTAGATTTTGGATTGATGCTTGTCGGTTGATTTACAATAGATTCTGTGTAATTTAATCTAGTAAAAGTCATGCTATAGGGCTGTTCTCAGTATTTGTTTGGTCTATATTTCTTGTCCAATAAAATTTGCATTCTGTAGATACTGCAAAAATATGAATCAAACAGTGTTCTGTTGTAACTATCACTGCCTAGCGCCAAAACACAATGCTCCAATGTCTGCATTACAATTTTCCTATGTGTTGTGAGCTTTTGTCTTCTCCAGTTTTTCTGCATATGCTAAGTAGTTTGTGATAACGGGCTGCTGTTAAATTGATGTGCGATTGGTTGAGTTTATTCCTCCTCTGTTCCTCTACTATTTTATGAATTGATTCCTCTGTATATTTTCTAAGTCTACTATTATTCTTGCGACTATTCAGAAATTTTTTAAGTGTCGTCGATGCATATTGATGTTTTTATTGAATCTACCACTAGTGGGGATATGAATCTACTAGTCGACATACATACTATTTTTTATTTTTGCTAGTTGATGCGAGCTTTGTTTTCTTGTCTGATTCTATTCAAACGTCCAGTGCTAGCAACTTGAGTTGTATTTATAGAGTTTAGTGGTTTGGAACTTACCAAGGCATCGAGCAAATTCCTGTCCTCCAAAGTGATAGCTAGTGACGTTATGTCCTGCTGCTGCTGCTCACCAGTTGTAAGTGAGAAGTGAGCCTAGGTCAACTATAAAAAAACGTACAAGTGAACCTAAATCAACTAAACAAGAGAGTTGGAAGTGCAACTTCTACATACAACAAGACCTACATCAAGAAAAAATGTAGATTCTCCCTATGGAGTGTGGCAAAAAATAGTTGGAGAGGCTAAGGGCTATCTTCAATTTAGCTTTGACAATGAGGCCATAGAAAGCTAAATTGAATATAGTTGTCAAAAGGACCCTCTGGTTGGGTGGAAGTGCTGCCTTTTTTTGATGTTTTTGACAGAAGAGACTGAGCATTGACCATCTCTTTTCATTACAGTATTGAAGGAGAGAGGTGACTTCTGGTGACTGGGGTTGAAACTTTTTTTCACTGGTTTTTTCTTTTGGAGGCTGCTGCAGTGTGAATTCTTCTGCAACTGGGAGTCGATGACTGGACCTGCAAACTTAACCAAGCTGGTTAGTAGTAAAGGAACATGTTTCTGGTGGATTTGATTGAGCAGCAATTGTGTTAGAACTCCTGATACTGGATCTAGATTGTGGGCTGATCTGATGCAGGAGTTTGTTCTGCACCAATAAAGTGCAGAGTCCTGCATTCTGCATTAAGTGGATCAAGTTCCAAGTGTTTCCATATTTCTTACTTCTAGGAAAGTGGTACTGGGATTGGGTTGTTGGAAAATTAGGTCTGGGCCCCTAGACGTGTCCCTGGGGATCCTATCTGTGATGTTTGACTGTCCTGCATCTTCGAACTGCCCATCTTGCTATGTTACTGTCAGTAAGTGTACCTACAACTGAAATTTGCTTCCAGCTTCCAGTTTCATCCTCGCTTTCCTGTGGACAGAACCAATTGCTCACCACCATGTTCTCCACAAGACTCTAATGACTGTGTTGGAACTTCAAAAACAGAGGTGTTTAGTGTAACCATAGGTTGTTTCACCATATTATTATTCAACATCATTGCATTTTGAGCATCCTTAATAATTTGTTCGACGTGAGGAGTAGAAAAATGCAGTGTTGGAACATTAGAGCTGTGAGCATGTTTGCCCGTAAGCTCCTCCACCAGATTTTCCTTTGAAACATTTGGTCGAGCATGGTTGTCCCTCGCTGAATTGCCACTGGCCAGAGGTTCTTTGGAACTAATGTTGCATGGTACTAACTCCTTGGATATCATATTACCAATTAACCAGTTGCATCACCTCCAGCATCTCCATCAGTTACCATTTAAACCTTTCCTTGTCATTATACTGTTATTTAACAGATTTAACCATATAAGTTTTTGCCATTTGATGACCTTTGAATCTTCTATTCTAGGTAATTTGGAGCCAAGAAAGGTTCGTGGGCCTACTTTACTAAAAGATATTTGGAAACTTCCTCCGGGGAAGGTAGTTGATATGCCGTTTAATAATCGTAACCAAGCTATTGGGGAAAAAGGTCGGAAGCTTGCTAGCTTTCTAGGAATCATTGCGAGAACTCCAGAACTAACACCTTTACATGTAGATGATTGGAGAAATTTTGACAAGGAGGAAAAGAAGAAATTGGTGGATTTTGTGAGGGTATGGAGTAGTTATTATTATTATTTATTTATTTGTTTATTGATTATTATTACTATTATATGAATGGGTTCAATTTTTTATACATGATATTTTTTTCTAAATATTGGCTTTATTTTTTTTAGAAGAAGTTCTCTATCCCAAGAAGAAGAGAAGCTTATGTCCTAAAGTCACTAGGAAAGAAATGGAAAGATTACGAGTGTGAGTTAAAAGGTTAGTATTTGCGAAAATATAAGACTAAAGACCTTTTGCTGAAAAATAGACCAAGTCGCATACCGAGGGATCAATGGAATGATCTTGTCGCTTATTGGCTTTCAGATAAAGCTAAGGTATTAACAAAACTTTAAAACACCTCAAGTTGATTATTTTCAGTGATTTAATTTTAGTTATGTTCGATTTTTATGTATAATTTATAAGATATCATTTTTATATTTTAACGACAGAGGCGTTCCCAAGCAAATAGAAATAATAGGGCCAATCAAAAGATGCCTCACATAGGAGGATCCAAAAGAATTGCTACCTTGATGGATGAGCAGGTAAACTTGTTCAAATTACTAACTATAATGTTTTAATTTTTTTTTCCACGTATATCTTACATCAATTTTATTGTATTAGGATGTGAATGGGATAGAGCCTACACGAGCACAAGTTTTTATATTAACTCATATAAAACGTAAGGATGGTAGACCACTGGATGATGATTCTGTCAAGGCAATTGTAAGATTTTTTTTTTTTTTTTCTTAATTGGGAAATAGTTAGGAAAAAACATAAAAGCGAATAAATGAATTCCAAATTGGATTTATGTATTTTATGGCTAGGAAATGATAAATGAAAGGACGAACAATAGTGAGAGCTCTATTGACCAACCTCCTCGCGTTGTTGCTTGGGAAGGCGATGTGTATTCTCAGGTGTTCGGAAATGACAAAAGTGGATATGTTCGTGGTTTAGGACTTGGTCCAACTCCTTTTGGTCTATGGGGTAGTAGATCTTCCGTGGAAAATATTGTTGGAGAGGATTCGTCTAATGAAGCTGTCCAAAGATTAACACAAGAGATAACCGAGTTAAAGGATAAACACAATAAAGAAATGAATCTGATGAAACAAAATCAGGAGAAGATGCAATCAGAATTACTCGAAATGCGACAATTGATGCGCAAATATGCTTCTAATGAATCTATGCCTCAAAATATCAATGGCACCTCAATTGAACAGGTAACTCGATTTTATAAGTTATGTACATTATTAATGAAGTTTTAATCCTATCAAAGTATTGTTATCTGGTGTATTAATATTTATCAGGTCCCTGCTGCCAATAGTGGCCATGAACGAGTACTACAAACATCAAGGATACCTAATGTTGCTGAAAATACTTCAATGTCTCATGGTACTACTCATCTTTATCCTTCGGCAAGCTACTATTTAAGTTTTCTATTGTTTGATCAAACTTCTACAGATTTTACCTGCTCAATATGCCTAGAAGATAAATCTCCTTGTTTAGTACATTGAGAAAATTCTGTGCAGTTGACTCCTCATCCAGGTCATTGTTTGTCTGATCATCTTGCATTTCAACTCCTTTTGCCCCATCTGTAGCCCAAAGATCTGTGTTCTTCTGCATGTAAATCACTTGTTTGTTACTTATGTTGTTTTCATTTTGGAATTGGACTGTTTCTAATGGAACAATAACCTCTACTGCAATCTGCACCTTGGTTGCCTGTTTGTTTGGATCTACTGTATTACATTTTGATTTAGCAGTACTATCCCTTGCACCTTCTTGTCCTGTTTTGCTCTGATTCATACCCTCTATAGCTTCCTCTCCTCTGCCAGTAGTGGAAAATAATTGCTTGTAAGATGAAAAAAAGTGTCAAATTCAGTATGCTGATGTGAGCACCACCTATTCTATTCAACTTACTATACCTATAGTGATAGTGATAACTATGTTAATTCAAGAAGTCAATTATGTTAATTCTTGGAGCCTATGGCAAATAAAATAAATACTAGCTGGAACTGGGAATCTTAGAATATAAATGCTTTTTTGGATGGTCAGACAAGCTCCAGAATTAGTCATAATTCCATCTTGTTTGTTACTGTGAAGCTAACAATTCCGATAAGAACATGCCTATTCATATATAAAATAAAATTAACTGCCCAGTTTCTCTAAGTAATTTGGTTGCGAAATACATTACTCCTACTTGCTAATGCAGAAGCAGATTTTATTAATGTTAACTGTGAATACTTTTGACAGCCTATTGCGGCAGTTTCGTTCTTCAAGAGTCTCATATGTACAATAAGCATTCTTTGAAAGCTTGGAACAGAGTTAACCACACAGCAAAATTCTTCTTCTCTCAACAAGAACTCTAAACTCATGATATTAGCATCAACTCTTGCCATTAGTTTGCAACTCCTTGTTACTGCCATCCTCATTCATTGAATTCACAACTACACTTGTCAGCTTACACGGTTCGGCCTCTTTTAGCATATGAACTATCATCCTTATCGATGGTCTTAATGCTAGTGTCCTAGCTATGCAATGAACTGCAATTCTAAGAACCTCGACAGCATCTTTCTTGAACCCCTCCAAAATGCTTGAATCCACCAAGTCAATCGTGCTAGTTTTGTTTCTTATCTTACTACATACCCACTGGACTATGTCATTGTTTTCCCCGTACTCTGCATCCACTGGCTTCTTTCCGGTCACCAATTCCATTAGTACCACTCCGAAGCTGTAGACATCACTCTTCTCGGTCACCTTGGTTGTGTAAGCATACTCTTTTGTCCCAAACAATAAAGAAAAAGAACAAAAAATTAAAAATTTACCAAAATTGTTTTCAAGTAACAATGACATGAAAAGGGAAGAGAAAAATATGTACCAGGAGCAATGTAGCCGTGCGTCCCAGCTACAACCTGAGAAGAGTCTTTAGTACCATTGACCTGCAAAACCTTAACTAGTCCAAAATCAGCCATTTTGGGCTTCATCTTTTCATCCAACAAGATGTTGCTATACTTGACATCACGATGCATAATAGGTCTGTCATACCCGTGATGCAGATACTCCAGCCCCCGAACAGCACCTAATGCAATGTAATATCGCACCAACCAATCCATCTTGACTTTCTGTGATGTGTGCAACCGGTCCCATAAACTTCCATTAGGTAAGTATTCATAAACCAACAGATTAGAGACTTGTTTTCCAAAATTGCAACCTAGGTGCATTGGAACTATGAGCTTGGTTTCCAAGAAGTTCAGTCCCCAGCTTACTCATTGAATTATTTCGTCGAACACCTAACTTTTCAACCAATTCTAGGCTACCTTGTCCTCCTCAATCCTTGTTGGTCATTAGTACCAGTTGTTTGGACATCCCACTATCATGTAGAACTGTTGCATCAACTTCAGGGTCCCCAACAGTAGCTAGAGCCTCGAATGAATTTGAGCTGGACCCAACATTGAAGTCAATTCGTCGAACACCTTTGTTCTGTTGTTTTGGTGAGATATTCTTTCAAGGACCTAACATTGAAGTCAATTCGTCGAACACCTTTGTTCTGTTGTTTTGGTGAGACCATGTCCTTTGTGGGGGATTTTTTACTTGTTACCAAGTTCCAATCTCCTTTCCTTTTATTCATATCAGCTTCCTTATCATACACAATCACCTTACCACTTTAATTTTCCACCAATAAGCTTTCATTCCCCACTATTTCAATCCCAGAAATCTGGGCAGCAACTTCTTTATTGGAGATTTGCTCTGCATTTTTGTTCTGATCAACTGCAGTTGTTTGCTGAGACTTCTCAGCCTCACTACCACTCTTATCTCCCTCAGAAACAATTATCATGTCTCCTGCTGCATTAGTTTGATCTCCAGCTAGCTTATCTGTTGCCTTACCAAAAGTTCCTTCTCCAACCTGTGCAATACCAGTATTCGTAACCTGCTGAACCACATCTACACTATGTGATATTTTAGCCTCTAAATTACTAGCCTTAGCACCTGGGGAATTCCCATTATTTAGTACCCAATTACCTTCCTGTAACTGCCCCTTAGAGACTTGTTCAGCAGCTGCCAATTCCTTACTAATTTGTACAGTTGCATCAACACGATTAGCAGCACTCTTTGATCCTGTACCAATTGACATAATTTTTACAGCACTAGCCAATTTGACAGAATGCTCAAAAGGCTGATTTGATATGTTTGCTTGTATGATATGCATTTACAGATATACTAAAATACTTCATACATGAGACTATACATACTTTCGGGACATTAATGAAGCAGATTCTTGCAATTTTATTTGTGTCCCTTTCTGGTTATGGACTTTTAGTTTTATAACTCGCAAACTATTATCAGCTTTGTTGTTTGGCAACATTTACTTCCTATTGACGTAGTTATTTTATAATTTCAGGTCATACAGTCTGATGTTTGATAATTTAGCGGGTGGAAGATTTCAATATGACAAAGAGTTTCAGAGATTATTTGAAGATTGTTATTCGTCAAGATTAGTTATATAGTGACATTAGCTATTTACTTCAAACAATATGAGTTATTTTTTAAGGTTTTGTGATATTAATATTTTGGATTAGTGCTTCCTTTTGTTCGTTAAGATTTAACGAGATATACTATAGTTTTATGAATTAATATCAATATGTTTTGTTATTTGCATTATTTTTTGGTCGAATGTAGTAGCTATTATTAATGGTGGCTAAACTTACCGTTATAGCTTGTGAATTTTAGTGCCAATTTAACAGGATTAAGACGTTTATACAGGGATATTGTAACCATTATATTGCTATTAAAGATAATTTTTAGCGGCAATTTAATTGACTTTGCTATCCATTAAAATGGACGCCAAAGGGGCATACTAATACATTTTTAGAAGAGATATTGTTGCCAATTTAATTGCCACAAAACAATTACCTCTAAAGGTATGGACTTTTAGCGACAAATATTTTGAATTTAGCGGCTATAAAAATGGACGTTAAAGGAGCATTATTAGTCGTTTTTAGAATGGGTTTAGCAGCCATAATAATTGCCGCAAACAATTGCCGTTAAAGTAGATGAGTTTTAGCGGCAATAAATCATACCTTTTACCAGCTTTTGGCAGAAATGCCGCTAAAGGCTTTACCGACCCCGGCATCACCGGCTAAAGATCAATTGCCGGTAAATGATATAGCAGCTATTGTTATTGCCGCCAATGTTGCTTTCTATTGCCACTAAAGGTCCTTTTTATAGTAGTGAGTCACCAACCTTTCAGTCCATCCCAGTGGTTAATGAGTTTTCCGATGTTTTCCCGATGAACTTCCGGGTCTTCCGCCAGAGCGAGAAATTGAGTTTGCCATCGACCTACTACCAGATACTAATCCAATATCTATTCCCCCTATACAATGGCCCCTGCAGAGCTGTAAGAATTAAAGGAACAACTAAGGGACTTGTTTGAAAAAGGTTTTATCAGATCTAGTACGTCACCGTGGGGAGCACCTGTTTTGTTTGTAAGAAAGAAAGATGGTTCCTTACGAATGTGTATTGATTATAGGCAGCTGAATAAGGTGATGATCAAGAATAAGTAACCGCTCCCGAGAATTGATGATTTATTTGATCAGTTTCAAGGTGCCAAGTATTTCTCAAAGATAGAATTGAGGTCCGGGTACCATCAGGTAAGGGTTAAGGATGAAGATATTCCGAAGACAGCATTCAGGACTAGATATGGGCACTTTGAGTTTTGGGTTATGTCATTTGGTCTGACCAATGCCCCAGCAGTATTCATGGATTTAATGAACCATGTGTTCAGGCCTTTTTTTTAGATCTATTCGTAATTGTATTTATTGACGATATATTGGTATATTCTCGTTCAGAGGCTGAGCATGCAGATCATCTGCGTACTGTGCTCAGAGTTCTACAAGAAGGGAACTTGTATGCAAAATTTTCTAAATATGAATTCTGGTTGAACTCTGTAGCTTTCCTTGGGCATATTATTTCGGGTAAAGACATTCGATTAGATACACAAGAGACTGAGGCAGTGAAGACTTTTCCTAGACCCACAACACCGATGAAGGTTTGTAGCTTCTCTGTTTGGCAGGTTATTAGAAGAAACTTGTAACGAAATTTTCTTCTCTTCTAAGCACCTTTGACCAAAGTGGTATGTGGTGTCTTGCTTGATGTTCCGGAATAACATAAGGAAATCTATGGTGCAAGCAGGTTGAAGAAAGGTTGCGAATAATTATAAATAGATATGTGTAGGTCGCAAGCTAAAGTATGGTAGAGCGACAAGGTTCTTGGAGGACAGGAGGAAGGATAAGAAAAGATGAGTAAAAAGGTAACAAGAATGGATGAGTCCTTGGGAAT